ACTCTGGTCACTAAGTTACGGGTAGCTTCCTGTTGACAGCGTCCTTGACACTTCACTCTCTCAGGAGCTGGACTGCCTTTGTCGAGAGGTTGCCGCAAGGGTACTGGAGCATGGTGTCAGGGATATGCTCAACTCTGGCGACGATGATGAGGATACTCGCTCACAACGGGATAATCTTATCAAGATTTGGTAGTGGAATCCACTAAGTGGATGCCAGCTGGTTGATCGACTTGTAGGTGTGTCATAGGTTGCGCACTGGTCAGAGTTGGCTGTCATTAACTTCTGGAGGTGCAGAGCAATGGACAGCAGCCAACAATGCATTGACAAAAGGAATCACTATTTTCAAGAAAGCTGTCACTGAGCTGTCTGAAGGGTCCGTCAGCGAGACGACCAAGAATGCAGCCTTTTCGGGCGCCTTGCATCTAGCTCAGGGCCTATGTCTCACAGGGAGCTGGGATGGGGCTGTCCAGGTAGAGGTTTATCTGTAGGTCCAACTAGAGCTACTGTTGGGGTCACACATCAGACAATTACAAGCTGTCGTGCACTCCTGTCGAATTGGTCCGGTTATCGCCGAATTGAAGCAGAGCTTGAGCTCGCCTATCAATGCAGGGATATCGCCACAAGGATGGTCCGCGCTAAAGACTCAGCTTGCGGCAAGGAGTGGGCTGTGGGTAGGCTGTGTTGACGGAGGGTCTTGAGTTGATCCTGGCTGTCTGTCCAGGACTGCCTGGATGGTCATCTATGGCCATTTCGCTGCCACCCCCTCCTGAATTGTTGAGGGTGGTGGAGATACTGGAATGTTCTTTCCATGTCTTATCCGTAGATGATTCGTCCCATCAAGGGCTCGAGACTACGGGTACGCGGGTTCGAAGGTTACTTATCGTGCGTTGAAGATCGATTGATCTCATTTCTGCAGTGTTGACGCAACTGAGCAAGGCCCGCAGTGAGATCTGCCGATTGCTGGCCGAGGTCCAGTCGATACAACGGCAACCAGAAAAGGCACTCGACTCCGTGCACGTGGCGATTCGAGAAGATATTCAATACAAGGCTTTCGAGTGGGCTATATAAATTCCTCGAAGATGCATGGACATTTTCGTTGGCAGTGGATACTATGATAGTGTCCGCGTAGCCGTGTGGATCATTCTCAACGCCCAACCGAAGATCTTGAAAACGGGAACTACCGAGGAGTTGATCAAGAGCGGCGAGGTGAGCATTTATCCCGATTTGCGATGAAGATTCGATTGCATTGTAGCTGAAAAGATTGGTTGAAGAATACTGTGCTACTGGAGAAGAAGTCCCTCAGGAAGTGCAACCTAGCCCGTCGGAGAGATTGTTGAGCCTCGGAAAACCTCTAGTGCACGCGCTACTCATCCTAGCGGAGGATATGACTCCATTCGAGGCCTCATCAGAGAGGTTGGATGAGATATTCGATGTACGCCATGTCCCTCCGTTTGCTTGGCTAGTTGGGAATATGGGTCCTGCTGTGTTACGTCAGGCACTCGGTCTGGTGCTGCGATCCCTGGAGCGGGATTGTGACGGACCTTCGCTCGTATTACTGGCGGCTAGTGTAGCCGATGCCATAGGAACTATTTCCCGAGCGATCACGCGAGGGGAAGGACGGGATGATGGTAGACGGGCTGGACGGGATGGGGTCAGTCTCCAAAAGCACATGTTAATGACGTGCACTGGTAAAATTCGGGCGCCGCTCTATCTATCTTGAGCAAGTCAGGACAGAACCTCACAGGGTGAGACGTCCGGTTTCGAGACGTACCGCCTAGGCCGGTATGAGGAATCCGGTCCGCGTATCGAGCGGATGAGCCACGCTCCGTATAAGCT